AAGGAAGCAAGGAAGCAAGGAAGCAAGGAAGCAAGGAAGCAAGGAAGGAAGCAAGCAAGCAAGCAAGAAAGGGAAGAAGGGAGGAAGGGAGGAAGGGAGGAAGGGAGGAAGGGAAGGGAGGAAGGAGCAATGTGTCAGTGCTGGGATGCTCACTATACTTGGTTTTTTGCGGGGGAGGCGCTGCGCCCTCCACCGCACCCCCTCCCGCTTTTTTAAATTTAAGCAGGTCACTCAAAACAAAGCCAGCAAGCCAGTTTGCAAGCGACGGGCCTGCAAAGCACTTGACCCTCAAACACTTTACAGAAAAGGATCTGGACACAAACAACTCTTGGTGATTGGTTCTTCAGCACGGGGATGCTGAATATATACGTTGTTTTCCTTGTGCCCTCCCCTGCTCTTTTTATACATAACGATAACTACAGCGCATCACGACAGCCAAGAAAACAACCAAGCGCATAGATACATACATACATACATACATACATACATAGATACATACATACATACATACATACATACATACATCTATACCTACATAGACAAACTTACATACACACACGTGCATCGATTTACATTTGCATGCATGGACATACATTTATATATTTAAGACTTACCGGTAAGCGCTACCATCCTCACATGGCTGGTGTATACTGTATTGTGATCTGCAAGAGTGCAGCGGGAAGAGCCTTCTCCTTCTCTTCCTTCTCCTCTCTCCTCTGTCTCCTTCTCCTTCTCCTTCTCTTTTTCCTTCTTCCTCCTCTTTTCCTCCTTTTCCTTTTTCTCCTTCTCCTTCTACTCTTCTGTCCCTTGCCTCCTGCGCTAGTTCTCTTTCTTTTTCTCTTTGTGGCAACCCCTGACCACAAACAATGCGGAAAAGATTCCCAAAACGCGTCGGAAAGATTTTCCGAAAAAAAGGTCGCCCAGAGTGTGGTGGTGGTGTTGGTAGTTGTTTGTATGGTAGTGTGGTAGTGTGGTAGTGGTTGGTGGCGTGGTGGTGGTAGTATAGTGCGGTGGTGTGGTAGTGGTTGGTAGTGTGGTGGTGTGGTAATGTGGTAGCGTGGTAGTGGTAGCAGCGCCTGCCACAAAATCTGCACTTCAAGGTTCACAAAGGGCTGTGAATGCTGCCCGGACCAATTCGCACTACACGCCGCAGTTTCGGGCACACCCCGATTTTCGCAAAAGGGTTCATCTCTTCGTATCGTTTCCAGAGAAGATGTGAAAATGTGAGAAGTGGACAAGGGGAAGATGTCAGATGTGAGAAAAAATCATGTTTCAGAGATTATATATTTTATCAAAAACCATTGCACGGACGTTCTCAGGAAAAAGAGGCATCCTAATGTCCACGTTTCTATTTTTTAAAATCACCTCACGCAAGGAGGAGGACTAAAGTTTACTAAAGTGACTAAAGAGACGTCAAATAAACCACTCGGAGACCTTCCTCTACTTCCCCCCGTCAGGGTTCGCTCCTGACTTTTCTGAGACATTTCTGCAGGAGTTGGTGCAGCAAGATGCGCCGCGTGTCCGGGGTCGATTGCAGGTCCTGGTGCTGCATGGGAGGCGACGCCGGTTCGTGTCGCCATGTGGACATGTCACGGCGGTTCTGGTCGACATGGATATGTCCCAAAAAGGGCTCAGATCTCCTTTGCTCTCGTGCAGTGTTTTTTTGTGATACGGACTTCATAGGGATGGGTTTCGTCATGGCGATTTGGCAGATTTTGGCAGGTTCTTTCAGCGAAAGATGTTTTCGCTTCGACTGAGCCGCGCAACGGCCCATTGGACTCCGTTTGAGGCAGTCCAATGCGAACCTGGCTAACTTCCAGCCCTTCGTCGCAGCCGCGTGAGTCGGGTGGCGGAATGGTCTGGATGTTTTGAGAAACATCCAAAATCTGAATTTATGGCTGCAGGTCATGGTGACACATGGGCCGCTCGTGAAACCGTTGATGAGTTGATGCGTCTATTGAATCTATTGAAAGCGTTGGTATGCCTCACCTGCGTTGAGCCAATATGATGGATGGGGAGTTCATTGAAGCAAGGAACTGCTAATCAATGTGGTTCTGCCATTTTTGCCAATGGGTTTCCACATAGTCCATCCGCATTTCATTGGCTTTAGCACAGTCGTCATTCTCCCCGCGTTTTTGTTGGCGCGGCACATGTGTACCTGTGTACCCCCCTTACCCGGTGGCACCGCTCGGTCGGGTCGGCCCCGCTCTTTGCACCGGACCTTCCGAGGATCAGTGGCTTGAAGACGGCCTTTGGGAAGGAGACGTTTCGGAGACGTTTCGGAGACCGTCTCCGAAAGGGCGGTTGAAAGGCGGTTTCGGTGACAGGTGACCGCGACGGAGGGTTGGGTGGGCGGGTGGGGCGGATTTCACTGGCAAATGGTTTGGGTGGTGGCGAGAACAGCTGGAGAAAGTGGCAACTCATCCTCTTGGGACCCAGTGCACGTGACAAGTCTATACGGAGCAGTTGAAGAGGTGGTGCTTCACAATGCCACAATGCAGTGCATAGCTATGCTGATTTGCTGTGCTTCAAGGAGGACATTCCTACCCTTCGGGCCCTTCGGGTTTGGTAGCAACTATGGTCTTAGAGGGTTTCCTGCGACTCGTTTCCATTCGTTTTGTAACGTGACGGCATCCCGGCGTCCCAGGACACGGACTTTGAGTTCCTAGAGGGCGACGTGACCTGGGCCTATCGGCCTGGAGTAGACCTGCACGATGCTGACCCCATGTCGGTGAACTTGTCCAAGGGCAAAGACTTCAAGGTGCGAATTCGTGAGTCGAGCTGCTTGGAACCTTCGGCCGCGATGGTGATCGATGGTGATGGTTTTGGTGGAATCACCATGCTTCGTTTTCGTGTTCCACGCCAAAATTTGAGCATTCGAGGAACAACCAAGCTTGTCGGAGGGGTGAAGTTGTGAAGTTCGCTGCCTTGTGGATCAGAGTTGTTTGATGTGCTCTGGTTTGTGCCACCTGCTTTCTGGCATTTTCAACGTCTGCATAGGTGTGGTTTAATCACACCACCGATGATCCACGTGCGCCTTGGTCCAAATGAGTCCCTTTTTTGGTCAAGCTCATGGTTGTTGCAGTGGGTCTCACATCATGTGCGTTCCACCAGCGAAACAACCGTGTCCGCAGAAACGACCAAGGAGCGTCCTGATCTCTACAAGCAGCAAGACCCAGGTGCCCGTCCGCACATGAGCGAAGGTGGAAAGCCCACCCTCCAACTTGTGGTCTGAACGCCAGCCACATCGACCGCTTGAAGACTCTCCTTCCAAGCAGCCGTAAACAACCGGCGCAGGTGTTTGCGTGTCCTACGAGGGTGTTGAAGGCGCGGTGGATGCCTTGCTTCAGAGGGTGACTCAAGAGCCTGTGGACGCGGTTGCTTGGATCAGAAAGGAGCCGCGTGGACGCAGCTGCTCTTAGCATGTTTGCTCATGGAAGGGGGGCCGACCCAGTGGACCACACAGGATGAACAAAAGACACCTTTTTACATTTTTTTAGAGTGGGAACATGCCATAACTATATACAAGGAACATCCCTTTCTAGCACTGAACAAGCAATCTCAAACGCAGCAAGAGTTTGACTGCAAACGCACCATGATTACCAAAGTTGGTGCCCTGAAGCTAAGACGCTCCCCAGGCACTTCAGCTCAGCTCAGTTCAGCCAGTCCAAAAGACTAGCTTTGAGGATCTCTCCCCTGCTGGGCCCTGTCTTGGATGGAAACCTATGGCATTTGGACACACATTGCAACCAGAATCACGAAGAGAGAGAGAGAGGCAGTAGACCTCCCAGGACAAGGGACACAGGATTCATACTGGTACAAAACTCACACGCGGTCACTTGTACTTCGAAAGGAGTGATCCCTCAGAGACTCTCGCAAGTTGGCATCAAATGACCATCCAAGCGGTTCATTGGCTC